AACCCGCGGGCTCAGGCAATCCTCTCACCTCAGCCTCCCAAAGGCGCGGGATTACAGGCTGAGCCACCAAGCCCGGCTGGCACCTTTTTCTTAACATGGGCTATATGTCAGGGCTTAGTGACCAATTCTTTGTGGAAATCGTAGGTGATATTTCTAGAAGTTCTGTTTGGTTCCTTTTCAAATTTGCCATTTTAAAAGTTAGTTTTCTGTTCCCGATAGCTATTTTCTACTTTTTTTGTTTTTTGTCTTTTTTTGAGTCAGAGTCTTACTTTGTTGCCCAGGCTGGAGTGGAGTGGCATGCTGCTCACAGCTACCGCAGCCTCAACCTGACCTGCTGGGCTCAGGCGATCCTTCTGCCTCAGCTTTCCAAGTAGCTGGAACTACAGGCATGCGCCACCACATCTGGCTAATTTTTTTATTTATTGTAGAGATGAGGTCTCGCCAAGTTTTCTAGGTTGGTCTTGAACCCGTGGGCTCAGGCAATCCTCTCTCCTTAGCCTCCCAAAGTGCTGGAATTATAGGCGTAAGCCACCACACCTGGCCCAAACAAATAATTTCAAAGTGAGTAAAGTTCTAAGAAGGGGGGGAAAACAGAGTAATGAGTCAAAGTGGACAGTTTGACTATCTATTATGTGTTTATTTAATTATTTGACAGAGTCTTGCTCTGTCACTCAGGTTGGAGCTGGTACTATAGGCACATACCACCACGCCTTGTTTTTTTTTTTGTTTTTTTTAGTTGGAGTCTCACTCCATCGCCCAGGCTGGAGTGCAGTGGCACACTCATAGCCATCCCAGCATCGACCTGCTGGACTCCAGTGATTCTTCCACCTCAGCCTTTCTTTTTTTGAGTTGGAGTCTCACTCTGTCACCCAGACTGGAGTGCAGTGGCCGCTCGGGGCCACCGCAGCCTCGACTTGCTGGGCTCCGGGAATCCTTCCGCCTCAGCCTTCCAAGTAGCAGGAACTACAGGCGCGCGCTACCATGCCCAGCTAATTTTTTGATTTATTGTAGAGATGCGGTCTCTCCAAATTGCCCGGGCGGGTCTCGAACCCGCGGGCTCAGGCAATCCACTAACCTCAGCCTCCCAAAGGTGCGAGATTACAGGCTGAGCCACCGAGCCCGGCTACACCTCAGCCTTTCAAGTAGCCAGAACTACAGGTGCGCGTTATCACATCCACATTTTATTTTTACTTTATTTTACACTTCATTTTACTTTGAGATGAGGTCTTGCCAAGTTGCCAGGGCTGGTCTTGAACCTGCGGGCTCAGGTAATCCATTCGCCTTGGCCTCCCAAAATGCTGGGATTAGTCTGAGCCACTGAGATTTTTTTTTTTAGTTGGAATCTCACTCTGTCGCTCAGGCTAGAGTGCAGTGGCATGCTCACGGCCACCACAGCCTTGACCTGCTGGGCTCAGGCATTCATCCACCTCAGTCTTCCAAGTAGCTGGAACTACAGGTGCGTGCCACCATGCTTGGCTAATTTTTTGATTTATTGTAGAAACGAGGTCTTACCAAGTTGCCCAGGCTGGTCTTGAACCCCTGGACTCAGGCAATCCTCTCGTCTCAGCTTCCCAAAGTGCTGGGATTATAGGTACCAGCCACTGCACCTGGTTCCTTACTGATCTTTAAACAATTTTTTTTCTGTAGAGTCAAGGTCTCTACTGTTGCCCATGCTAGTTCGAACAATTGGCCTCAAGCAATCCTCCCACCTCAGCATTCCGAAGTGCTGGGATTATAGGGGTGGGCCACTGCACCCGTTCGACTGTGCTACTTTACATTGGTTACCTAGAAGGCCTCTCTGCAACTTCAGCTGTAACTTCAAGCTTGAGAAGAAGCTTGCCATAGGAAGAGCTGAAGGTGTCCATACCAGGTAAGAAAATCGCAAGTGCCAAAGTCCTAGAGTAGAAGAGTTTGTGGCATGCTCAAGGAACCGTAAGGAGAACAGTTTGCTAGAGGAAGGAGGTAGCAAGCGGTGGAACGCAGTGTTGGCGAGGAGGGCAGAGGCCAGATCACACCAGGTCTTCTCCTGTGGTCCTTTGTAGTTTACGAGTAAATAGAAGGCTGGGCGCAGTGGCTCTCGCCCACAGTCCCAGGGAGGCCGAGGTGAGAAAAGTGCCTGAGTCCTCGGGTCCGAGACCAGCCTGGGCGAGACCAGGCTGGACCTCATCTCTACAATAAATCAAAAATTAGGCCGGCATGCTGGCGTATGCCTGTAGTTCCAGCTACTTGGAAGGCTGAGGCAGAAGGACTGCGTGAGCCCAGGAGGTCCAGGCTGCCGTGGCCGTGAGCGTGCCGCTGCCCTCCAGCCTGGGCGACAGAGCCAGACTCCAACTCAAAAAAAAGCGTAAATAGAAGCCATCAGGGTGCCGCGTGATTTACATGCTGGGAAGATGGCTGTGACAACAGCTGCCCAGGAAGCACAGTCTGGTGTAAAGATGGGACCTGTTCCTCCGGTGTCACCTATCCCAACTCTTAAGGGTGACCGCCCTTCCCGGAAACTTCCTTCAAGTACACGCCTACTGCCAGGTCCACTCGTGAACCCAACCGGCTCCGAAGGAAAAGCCTTCTGATTGGACAAGTCTAGGTGTGTGACCCTCCGGAGAGTCGGGCGGTGCCCACCGTGGTTGGCTACAAGCTCTCCTTTCTCCTTCAATCACACCGCTATTCCTAAGACCGGGCTGGTCCGTTCGCCTAATGAGACGAGAGGGCGCTGTGATTGGTGCTCTTAGTATGAGTGACAGCGGACTCAGCCTATGGCGGCCATGACGCGACTGCGAGGCCCGGGCGCCGTGGGCCGCACTGCGGGGATCCGGCGCTGTCTGCGCGTGCCGCTCCCCGTCCCAGCCCCGCGCGCCGCCGGCGATATGGCCGCCCCGCCGCAGCTGCAGGCTCTGCTCCTGGCGGTCAATGCGCTGCTGCGCAAGCGCCGCTACCACGCTGCGTTGGCTGTGCTCAAAGGCTTCCGGAACGGGGCCGTGTGAGTCGGGCTGTCGGGCCGGGCTGGGGCTGAGGGACGGTCCTGGCTGGGGTCCGAGGAGCGCCCTGGAGTAGCCCTTGTGTGGCTCTGGGTCTTGGTCCTCGGTCTGCCACCATATGCGCGATGGGACCTGGACCTGGGGTTCCAAGCATCGTCCCGGTTCTGGGCAGCCGGGGCTCCACTGCACAGTTCTGGGTCTTCCGTGCTTTGCCACCTGGTCCTCTTGCTTTGACCGCCTCCCGTGCCAGCTCCTGTGTCCCCTCCCTTGGGTCCAGTTCACCTCGCCTTTCTGGGTGCTTTGGTGCCTGTCTGGCCTCAGTGGCCCTATTTGCACAGTGGGAAGCGACCCTGGCCTCAATCAGGCAGGCGAACGTTCCCTGTCTGTGCTCTCCCAGTTAAATTGCCCAAGGACTTGCGTCCTGCTGCTCACTCTTCATCTGTAGGACTCCAGTGCTGAATTCTTACTGGCACAGGAGACTCCTGGAGCATGACAATGAGTGGAAAAGAAGCTAAAACTCTTCTGGTTGTCATACCTGCAGGAGAGGAGGTATCAAGGCGTGGTTAGTGCCTGGAAGGGAGCTCGACCTCTTTTAGTCCCAAAACACCCACCACTCACTGAGGGCCTCCTGTGCCAGAGCTGGGGACAAAGCTGAGCACAGACCAAAGGTGTGTGTCTCACCCGAGTTGGCGTCCTGGGGGAGGATGGACTGCCTTGGCTTGAGCCCTGGTTCCACCTACCTGTGTGATCTTGAGCAAGTCATTTAGCCACTCTGAGCCTCAATTTCTGTAAAATGGGTGCGATAATAGCACTTCTATTAGGATTGAGTCATTATGTGTGAACTCCTTGGCCCAGCACCTGGCATATACATATAATTTTTGGTGGTTGACACTGTTGTTATATGGCTGTCTGCCTGGTTTACTCCCTTGCTGTTTTCAGGCCTCTGCTTAAGTGTTCCTTCCTCACTAGGCCATCCCTGAACTCCTCACCTCCTTCCCCAGTTTATTTTTCTCAGTAGTACTTGTCACCATCTGACACTAAGTAGTTCATTTATGTGTCTTGTTTTTAGTCCAACTCTTTCCTTGAAAAGTGAACTTCAAAGACAGAGGCAAGAGGATTGCCTAAGCCCAAGGGCTGGAGACCAGCCTGGACAACATGGTGAGACTTTGTCTCTACAGTAAATCAAAAAATTAGCCAGGCGTAGTGTTACTCGCCTACAGTTCCAGCTACTTGGAAGGCTGAGGTAGAAGGATCGCCTGAGCCCTGCAGGTCGGGGCCACCATGGCTGTGAGCAACATGCCACTGCACTCCAGCCTGGGCGACTCCGACTCAGGAAAAAAAAAAGAAAGTGAGCTTCATGAGGACAGAAATTACCTGTTTTGTTCCGTGGTGTACTCCTAGTACCTCGTATATAATAGTTTCAAATATTTATTGAATGGATGAATAGGTGTGCAAGGTAAGAATTGTCATCGTTCCCATTTTCCAGATGAAAAGGCTGTGACTCAGAGGTAAACCCATCATTGGTCACATCATTTGGCAAAGTTTGGAGTCAGGATTCAAACTCAGGAGTTCTGACCCCAATGCCAGACTCTTGGCTTCCATGGGCACTCGGAGTCAGATAGAAGCTGTTCCCACTGGGTCAGGCCAGATTATATCAGCCACTACTTGGTGCGACCAGGTGGGATAGACCCTGAGTTAATGTCAGTGGCCCTTGTGTCAAGCTGTTCACAGGGCAAGCAGGAGTGGTTCCACAAGGCATTGCCCAATGCTGGCTTTGTACAACCTCCCCCACTTCAGCTCTCCCTGGGACTTCCTGAGGTTAGGCCCTGGGGCTCTAATCCAAGTTCTTTCGTTTTAAAAGCTGAGTGAAACTGAGTGAAACCGGCCGGGTGGCTCAAAACCTGTAATCCCAGCTCTTTGGGAGGCGGAGGCAAGAGGATTGCCTGAGCTCAAGGGTTCGAGAGCAGCCTGAGCAATATGGAGAGACCTTGTCTCTACAGTAAATCAAAAAATTAGCTGGGCGTTGTGGCACATTCCTGGTTCCAGCTACTTGAAAGTCTGAGGCAGACGAATCACCTGAGCCCAGCAGGTCGAGACTGCAGTAACCGTGAGTGTGCTGCTGCACTCCAGCCTAGGTGACATAGTGAGACTCCAACTCAAAAAATAAAATAAAATAGAAGCTGAATGACTCTTCATCTTTTCTGGCCTCAGTTTCCTCTTCTGTGAAATGGAAACAATAAACTCATTCATCATTCATACCTGGGTGCTGTAAGACAGGGTTCACATTACTGGTTAGTGCTGAGATGCTGTTTCTATCTGTAAGGAGGGGGGCTGACCACGAAACTACCATGTCAGTGCCAGGAATGCTTCACAGAAGAGATGATGGTGATATGTTGAAGGCTGAGCTGGAATTTGTCTTTGAGAGTAGGGTATCCCAGGTAGAGGGAATGGCTTAAAGTCCTAGAGAAAGGCTGGGCTTGGTGGCTTAGCCTGTAATCCAAGCACTTTGGGAGGCTGAGGCGAGTGGATTGCCTGACCCCGCGGCTTTGAGACCAGCCCAGGCAACATGGCAAGTCCTCATCTCTATAATAAATAAATTTGTTTTTAAGTCCTAGAGATAGAAAAGAATGTGCTGTTTGTGAAGAGAGGCCATCTGTTTAGGCAGGCTGACTTAGACAGTTGAGATGTTCGAACTTTGTAAAGTTTAACTCACTTTGATGTTCCTCCCCTAAATTTTCTTGTTTTTTTTTCATTGAGAGATAGGTGTTTGCTCTGTCCCCTAAGCTGGAGTGCAGTGGTACAATCTAGCTCACTGCACCCTGATCTCCTAAGCTCAAGGGATCCTCCTAAATAGCTGGGACTACAGGCACGTGCCACCACATTGGCTGATTTTTTGTTTTGTTTTGTTTTTAGAGATGAGGTCTCACTATGTTTCCCAGGCTAGACTTAAATTCCTGGCCTCAAGCAATCCTCCTGCCTCAGCTTCCAAAGCACCGAGATTATGGGCATAGCCACTACTCCCTGCCACTCCTAAATATTTCAGTGTAAAACTTAACTCACTTTGATATTCCATCCTCAAGTGCACATTTCTAAAAATAAAAGCATTTTCCTATATGACTAAATTATAAGTGCATTTAATAGATTGCTAATTCTGCAATACTGATTATTATCCAGTTGATAATCAATTGTCCCAGTCATCCCAGCTACTCTGTCTAGGCTGGGATTCTCAAGGATATCACACTGCCCCTGCTATCATGTCCTTTTTAATCCAGAGTGACCTTTTTTCCAGGAGTGATCCTGTGAACAGGAGAGTAACTGGCTCGCATCTGAGTATGAGGACTTGGGAAGGGGCTTGACAGATGTAGGGAGTTGGGGGCACCCTTCTGCTGTGTCTGGGGTATAAGGAAAGAGCCTTCTGCCCCAGCCATCCAGAAGAGGCTGAGGGCCTCTTCTTTCAGGAGAAAGAGACATAGCTTTGGAGGGTGCTGGGGAAAGAGAGCTTGCTGAGGGTCCTAGCCCTCCTGCCCACTGCTAGGCACATGAGAAGGTAAGCAATGTAGCATGGCCTCTCCGACAATAAACCAGCTTTAAATGAACAACTTTAATTTCATTTTTTAAAAAATTAGGTAACACGTGTACAAAAGGCATAAAAAGTGACATGCTAAAATGTCCTACCCACTCCATCCTTCTGTCACCCAGACCCCTTCTTGGGGGTATATCCCCTGTGCCCAGTCTCTTATGTATTCCTCCAGAAATACCGTGTGCATATACAAACAAATACATGCATTCTTCCCTCATGCCTTTCAAAAAAGTTTTATTTTTTATTTATTTTTGTTATTTTTATTTTATTTTTATTATAGACACAGGGTCTTATTCTGTCGCCCAGACTGAAGTGCAGTGGTGTGATCATCGCTCACTGCAGCCTTGAACTCCTGGGCTCCAGTGACCCTCCACCTCAGCCTCCCCAATAGCCAGGACTATAGGCATGTCCCACCATATCTGGGTAGTTTTAAAATTTTTTTTGTAGAAACAGAATCTTGTAATATTGCCTAGATAGATCTTGAATTCCTGGGCTGAAGCCATCCTTCCACCTCGGTGTCCCAAAGTGCTGGAATTACAAATGTGAACCACAATTTTGAAATTTTATTTAAGTCAGAGTCTCACTCTGTTGCCCAGGCTGGAGTGCAGTGGCACTCTCACAACCACTGCAGCCTCAGCCTGCTGGGTTCAGGTGATCCTTCCACCTCAACCTTCCAAGTAACTGGAACTACAGGAGTGCACCACCACATCCAGCTAATTTTTTGATTTATTGTAGAGACGAGGTCTCGCCATATTGCCCAGGCTGGCCTCCAAACCCTGAACACAGGCAATCCTCTGGCCTTCACCTCCCAAAGTGCTGGAATTATAGGCATGAGCCACTGTGCCTGGCTTGAAATAATTTTAGATTTTTTTTTTTTTTTTTGAGTTTGAGTCTCACTCTGTCGCCCAGGCTGAAGTGCAGTGGCACGCACACAGCCATCGCAGCCTCTACCTGCTGGCCTCAGGCGATCCTTCCACCTCAGCCTTCCAATTAGCTGGAACTACAGGCATGTGCTACCATGCCTGGTGAATTTTTGATTTTATTATAGAGATGAGTTCTCGCCAAGTTGCCCAGTCTGGTCTCGAAACCATGGGCTCAGGCGATCCTCTCATTTCAGCCTCCCAAAGGGCTGGGATTGCAGGTGTGAGCCGCTGCGCCCAGCATAATTTTAGATTTATAGAAGAACTTCCTCATTTGTATGCAAGTGTGACTGTGCTGCATTCAACGGCTATGCATCTTGCGCTAACAAATCCTGCAGACTGCCTGTATCAGTGTGCGTAGAGCTGCCTCATTCTTTTACAGCCATGTAGGGTTCCACTGAATGGCAGGACTGTTACTCATTTCTTCAGGAGTTCCTGTGAATGGACACAGGTTTGAGTCCAGTCTTTTGTAGTTTCAAACAAGTTTGCAGTTAACGTTCACATGTATTCGAGGGACAACAGTATGTGGCTCATGACCATTGCCTCAAGGAGGCAGGCTGTCAAAAGTTTTCAGGCCAAGTGCGGTGGCTCAAGCCTGTAATCCCAGGATTTGGGGAAGCCAAGGTGAGAGGATTGCCTGAGCTCAGGGGTTCGAGACCAGCCTGGGCAACTTGGTGAGACCTCGTCTCTACAATTAAAAAAAAATTAGCCAGACATGGTAGTGCATGCCTGTGGTTCTGGCTATTTGGAAGGCTGAGGCGGAAGGATCGCCGGAGCCCAGCAGGTCGATGCTGGTGTGGCCGTGAGTGTGCCACTGCACTCTAGCCTGGGTGACGGAGTGAAACTCCAACTCAAAAAAAAAATTAAATAAATAAAAATAGACATCCCTCTTTATGGTAGGGAAACTGAGGCTCAGAGAAGTTAAATGGCAAGTCCCAGACAACACTCCCATGGAGTATCACAGCTGAGATCTGAATTCAGCATTATTCCCCTTTCTAAAGGTGTTAGAATTAGGGATAGGGAGAGAGGACAGTGGGTCAAAGAGCCCAGAAAGAAACTGCGATACAGTGATGCTGGTGTAACTGTTTTCTCCTTTTTCTACAGCTATGGAGCCAAAATCCGGGCCCCTCACGCACTGGTCATGACCTTTCTCTTCCGGAATGGCAGGTACCTACCCACTGCTCTGGACACCCCACGTACGTAGTCCTCAGTGCTAGGATGATTGTAGTAGTTTCCCACCTGGGTCTAGCCTGTCCCCCACCACACCTAAAGTCCAATTCTGAGCCTATAACCCCAGCTTGGGAACTCCCTGAGTCCTCCAGACAAGCTCAATTTCCAGGCCTGACCTTCAAGGCTTTTTGCAGCCTGGCCTCAGCTGTATCCATAACATGTTCAACTTGGGGTGCCTTTGACACATAGGACTCACTGCCATTCCACGCACGCACAGGCTCCACCTCAACATGTTGCTCACGCAGGACCCCTTCTGTGAACACCTTTTCCTCTCTCTCCACCTTTATTTCCCTCCAGGCAACCCACATTGGTTCACTATGGATCACTGCCTGTGGGAAGCGGCCTCTGCTCTCTGCTCAAGCATCTGGGCCTGCCCCTGATCTCCCTAACTCTTTGAAGCTGAAGCACTTCTCAGAAAGCAGGGTGGAGTCCAGTTTTAACATATGTGGATTCATACAGAGCTCACAGAAATCCTATACTGGCAGCCTACCAGCCAAAACCAGCTTGCAAGATTTTCCCTTTTTGTACTTTCGTTTTACTTACTTTTTTGGCTTTTTGGCCCTCCAAACTATTTATTTATTTATTCTTGAATTAGAAAATATAATTTGTTTAAAAGTAAATTAGAGAGAGAAAGAGAAGATTCACCTCCCCAAGGTGGGAGAGGGGGCCAAAGCCAGGATGCATGGCGACAGCCATAGTTCAAAGAGCACATGGCCACACCAGAGTCTAGCAAAGCCATGGCATATTTATTTATTTATTTTTATTTATTAATTTTTTTTTGAGTTGGAGTCTCACTCTGTTGCCCAGACTGGAGTATAGTGGCTGCTCCCAGCCACCGCAGCCTTGACCTGCTGGGCTCCGACGACCCTTCCGCCTCAGCCTTCCAAGTAGCCGGAACTACAGGCGTGCAGTACCATGCCCAGCTAGTTTTTTTTGATTTATTGTAGAGATGAGGTCTCACCAAGTTGCCCAGGCGGGTCTCGAACCCGCGGGCTCAGGCAATCCACTCAACTCAGCCTCCCAAAGCGCGGGATTACAGGCTGAGCCACCAAGCCTGGCGTAAACAAGCATTTGAATATCAGGTTGAATAAGAGCTCAGAAGGAAAACAGAAGAGGGCTAAAGGGGCAGGATGTAGTAGGCGTTCTTTTATGGATTGTGGTCAGGGAAGGCCTCCTGAGGAGGTGGCATTGAGTCAAGGTCCAATTCAAGTAAGAGACCAACCCTGAGGGCTTGAAGGGTAGAGGCAAATGACTGAGTGAGCAGTGGCCGGGGTGACCCTTGGCTGGCTCAGTCTTGCATGCTTAATGGGTAGACGCCCCCAGAGCGAGTAGATGCCCCCAGAACCCCCGGAGAGGGTAGACGCCCAATGAGTAGGTGCCCCTGGAGTAGGTAGATACCCTTGGAGCAGGTAGATGCCCAACAGGTAGATCCCCCAGAGTGGGTAGATGCCCAGTGGGTAGACTGCCCTGGAGCCAATAGATGCCCTCGGAGCAGGTAGATGCCCTCTGAGTGGCTGGGCCTGTACTCACAAAGGTTCTCTGTACTTGTGCAGCCTCCGGGAAAAGCTGCGAGCCATCCTACAAGCCACATACACCCACTCTAGGAACCTGGCTTGCTTTGTGTTCACCTACAAGGGCCTCTGTGCCCTGCAGGCGCACATGCAGGGCAAGACCTCCCAGGTGCACTCATTCCTGGCTGCCTGCATTGGAGGCATCCTGGTGTTTGGAGACAACAACAGCATCAACAGCCAGGTAAGAACCTCTCCTAGGCTGGTGCAGGGGGAGTGGGCGTGGCTTAGCTGTAGAGGTGGAGGCGGGGCTGAAGAAGATGAACTCTTAGCTGTTTTCCATGTCTGAGGTCTGATTCACCTGTCCCTGTGTGACCTGGAGAAGGTCAATTCCCCCAGTTTCCTCATCTGTAAACCAAACAACTTCTTGAAATTCCATGGTTCCCAAAATCAGTGTGTTTGCTGCTCTCTAAGGCAAATAGTTTTTTTGAAAAAATACTCTGAGCCGGGCTCGGTGGCTCAACCTGTAATCCCTCACTTGGGGAGGCTGAGGTGAGTGGATTGCCTGAGCCTGCGGGTTCGAGACCCACCTGGGCAACTTGGCGAGACCTCATCTCTACAATAAATCAAAAATTAGCCGAAT